ATAGGAGAGTATCTTCTATAACACCTAATATTTGTGACCTAGGCCAGCGTTTCTAAAGGAGAGTATCTTCTATAACACCTAATACTTTTGACATAGGCCGGTGTTTCTAAAGGAGAGTATCTTCTATAACACGTAATACTTGTGACCTAGGCCAGTGTTTCCATAGGAGAGTATCTTCCATAACACGTAATACTTTTGACCTAGGCCAGTGTTTCTATAGGAGAGTATCTTCTATAACACCTAATACTTGTGACCTAGACCAGTGTTCCTATAGGAGAGTATCTTCTATAACACGTAATACTTGTGACCTAGGCCAGTGTTCCTAAAGGAGAGTATCTTCTATAACACGTAATACTTGTGACCTAGACCAGTGTTCCTATAGGAGAGTATCTTCTATAACACGTAATACTTGTGACCTAGGCCAGTGTTTCTATAGGAGAGTATCTTCTATAACACCTAATACTTGTGACCTAGGCCAGTGCTTCTATAGGAGAGTATCTTCTATAACACGTAATACTTGTGACCTAGGCCAGTGTTTCTATAGGAGAGTATCTTCTATAACACCTAATACTTGTGGCCTAGACTAGTGTTTCAATAGGAGAGCATTTTCTATAAACCTAATATCTGTGACCTAGGCCAGTGTTTCTGTAGGAGAATATCTTCTATAACACCTTATACTTTTGACCTAGACCAGAGAGTATCTTCTTTAACATCTAATACTTGATACTTGACTCTAAGTGACTCGAAATGAATTCATCTGCTTAAAGGCACAGGTTCCCTATATGTGAACGAACATTGCATAATTCCTTTAAAAGATACCTCAAACTAGGAATTTATATATATGCCTTTTATGTATGATAATGATAATAATTCATGTATAAAGATAATGATAATAATTCATGTATAAAGATAATGATAATAATTCATGTATAAAGATAATGATAATGAATCATGTATAAAGATAATGATAATAATTCATGTATAAAGATAATGATAATAATTCATGTATAAAGATAATGATAATAATTCATGTATAAAGATAATGATAATGATTCATGTATAAAGATAAGGATAATGATTCATGTATAAAGATAATGATAATAATTCATGTATAAAGATAATGATAATGAATCATGTATACAGATAATGATAATAATTCATGTATAAAGATAATGATAATAATTCATGTATAAAGATAATGATAATGAATCATGTATAAAGATAATAATTCATGTATAAAGATAATGATAATGAATCATGTATAAAGATAATAATAATAATTCATGTATAAAGATAATGATAATGATTCATATATAAAGATAATGATAATAATTCATGTATAAAGATAATGATAATGATTCATGTATAAAGATAATAATAATAATTCATGTATAAAGATAATGATAATGATTCATGTATAAAGATAATAATAATAATTCATGTATAAAGATAATAATAATAATTCATGTATAAAGATAATAATAATAA